AGGTACACGTACATATATAGACAATCAAAAAGGGGGTGCTAACCATCCTATTGGGCTAACAGAGTTCTTTCATGGTGATTGGGTTAGAGTTGGTGCGGTAGGCAGTGTCCACGGCTCTGAGCACATGACGTCTTCTGGTGCGTTCAAGGTGACTAGTCGAAACTAGTCACGACTATCATGCAACAAATACGTATTAGTGGCACGCTCGAGCTACCAGCTTCGGGGTTTGCTTTAAGGACACACGGTTCTTCTGGGCAGTTTTATTTTCTTTTCTTGCAGTGAGCAGGTTTCCGTTGGTTTGTCTCCCTCGGCTCTGCTCCTCGCATCTGCTCCTCGGCCTTGCCCCTCAGCGTCTGCTCCCGAGACTCGCTCTCCAGGTCCTGCTCACTGCTTTTCAAAAGATACACAATCAGTCCTCATCACTTCCACTTGTGCTCCTTACTCACCTGCCGGCACGTCCCCTGAACCACTCCCCCGCTCTCCCCCCTGCAGCTGAGCTAACCACACCCCGCCACCACATACCCCCACCGCTCGACTTAGGCCGGGGAGCCATCCAGGCACTCTTTCTCCACCGTACTGTACCTGGCCTCTCTCTCCGACAGTTTCCGGCTGATCTAGAGGACCGGGCGGTCCACCCCTGCACCTGCTGGGACAAAACGGCCCCCGGCCCTTTGTTCGACGCATCAGTCTGCAAGTCAAAAGGGAGAGAGGAGGTGTATGGAGCAGTGGTTCCCCACAGAGGGCCCGTTTCACCCTCTCAACCGCCCACTGGCACCGCTCCGTCCACTGGACCGGATCTGAGGCACCCTTCCGGGTCAGGTCAGTCAAGGGGCTGTCAGCTCCGCAAAGCCCGGGATGAACCCCCTGTAGTAGCCCGCCAGCCCCAAAAACTGCCTCACCTCTTTTTTCGTCTTGGGCCACGGGCAGGCTGCGTTGGCTGCGCTTTTGTCCACCTGAGGGCGCACCCTCCCGCCGCCCAAGTGGTACCCCAGATACCGTACCTCCCTCCGTCCTACTGCCCATTTCCCCGGGTTGGCGGTGAGCCCGGCCTGCCTCAGGGACTCCAGCACCGCGCCCACCCGCTGCACATGCTCCGCCCATGTGGTGCTGTGTATGATGACGTCATCCAGGTAGGCAGCAGCATACGCAGAATGCGGACGCAGCACCCGGTGCCCAGTGTCGTAAAAAAAATGCACGGTGCCCAATCGGTCCAGAAGTTCGTGGACCCGGGGCATCGGGTACGCATCAAACCGTGACACCGCATTCACCCTGCAATAGTCCACGCAGAACCTTATCGAGCCGTCCTTCTTGGCGACAAGAACGATGGGGCTTTACCAGGCACTGTTTGACTCCTGTATTACCCCCATCTCCAGCATAGCGGCCAATTCTCGCTGAACAATTTTCCTTTTGTGTTCAGGTAATCTGTAGGCCCGTGACAGCACAGCGACCGGGGACGTCTCAATGTGATGTGCTATGAGATCCGTGCGACCTGGCAGGGAGGAGAACACATCATTAAATCGGTCTTGCAACCGGGCTATGTCCGCTTGCTGGGCTGCAGAGAGATGGGCGTCGAATGGGAGCCGGGTCGGATCGGTGGACTTTGGGACCTCTGGGCCCAGCTCCTCTCTCTCCGCTACTGCAGACACAAGGGACACGGACTGCGCCTCCCTCCATGCTTTGAGGAGGTTGAGGGGGTAGATCTGTGTAGCCCCGCCCCTGTCAGTTTGCACCACCTCATAGTTGACGTCCCGCTCCCGCCGTGTGACCACAAAGGGCAGTTTCGAGTAGTTTCGAGCTAGAAAAAGGAAGCAATACAAGTACTTTCTCTCCCGGTGTAAATTGTCTCTTGGTCCCTCTGTTGTACAGCCGTTGTTGACGCTCCTGGGCCTGGAGCAAATTCTCACGTGATAACTCACCCAGTGTGTGGAGTTTGGCTCGCAGGTCCAGGACGTAATGAATCTTGTACTTACCGGCAGGTCGGGCACCCCCCGTGGTTTTCTGCCAAACAGCAGCTCGAAGGGAGAAAATCCCGTGGAGGCCTGGGGAACCTCCCGTACTGCAAACAACAGAGGATCAAGCCCTTTATCCCAATTACGTTCATCGTCATGAATGAATTTACGAATCACGGATTTTAACGTCCTGTTCAGTCATTCAACCAGGCCATCAGTCTGGAGGTGATACACGCTGGTCCAGACAGACTTAACCTCCAGTAAATGGTACAGTTCCTGCAGTGTACGTGACATGAATGAGGTGCCCTGGTCAGTCAGAATCTCTTTCGGGATTCCGACTCGGGAGATGACCTGAAGCAGCGCCTGCGCAACACTCTTGGCGGAGATGCTGCGCAACGCCACTGCCTCGGGATATCGGGTTGCGTAATCTACCGGAGCTAACACAAAGCGATACCCCTGTGCACTCCGGTGAAATGGCCCGATGAGGTCCGTAGCTAAGCGCTCAAACGGCAGCTCCATTAACGGTAGCGGACGCAACGGCGCTTTCGGAATGGCCGGCTGGTTTACCAGCTGACACTGCGGGCAGGACGCGCACCATCGGCGCACTTCCGCCCAGATGCCTGGCCAGTAAAATCGGGCCACTATCCGATCCAGAGTTTTATCGCTACCCATGTGGCTCGTCATCGGGTTATAGTGAGCTGCCTGGAAAACTATTTCCCGGTGGCTTTTCAGTACCAATAATTGTGTATTTTCCTGAACTGTTTGAGTGACAGGACTCACTCTGTATAGCCTGTCCCTAATCAGTGAAAACAGCGGGCATGTTAATGCTGTGTCGGGGCGCACCACTTGACCATCAATTCGCATCACTTGGTCGAAGGCAAAGCGTAGAGAATCATCACGAGACTGCTCCAGTGGAAAGTCTTCCATGGAGCGTAACCCCGTGTTGTGCAGTCCTGACTTTACTAAAGACGTTGTGGCAACCAACGGGTGTGGGTGGAATCACCGGACTCAGATACACGTCTAGTTGCACACGAAAAGGATACGATTTATTGTAACGTACAAAGTAACGGAAAAAGGGAAAATTAGGTTCTTCCTCTTTTGAGGGTGCGGTTCAGCGGGTTCGTTCGGCCTTCAGTCTCCTTCCTACAGGAAGCACAAAAAACAGGCTTTAACACTCAAACAAACCCCAGCGTGCAGCCAGCTTCTACTGACGTCTTGTCTGCTGGGCTGTTGGCATGGTTGGCCTTTTATAGTGTGGCCAACCTTCATCAGCCTTATGAGCTGCACCTGGGCGGCTCGTTGTCTCCTGAGGGGAAGGGGTGTTTCCCCTTTTGGTCACTTGACCTCTTGCTCGTTGGTTACCACAACGTATTGTTGCAACCAGACGCCTTAGAGAGCGGTCTGAGAGCTGCTTCTGCAAGGAGAGGCCAACCATCGTCACCCTGTGGCTTACATGAGCCAAGAGTTATTCCCGAGAGAAACTCGTTATTCGACTGGAGAAAGAAAGTGAAATGGTTTCGGAAGAGAGTTCACCTTGTATGTGTCCCTCATACATTTTGAATATTTTTTGAATATTCATTTGAATATTTTTTGAATATTCATTTGAATATTTGAATATTTCTTTTTTGACAACCTCATATCCTTCCTGGAGCTGTGGCTCCCTTGTCCAATGTTTCCAAAATAATCATGTATGTATTGGAAATGTTTGCGGATCTCCATAACTTGTCCTCTCCTGGCAATAAATGAACGTATTGTGGATACCAATGCATGTGTCAACGCCAAAGAACTTCAAACCTTGAATTTTCCCTTGGGGATCAATAAAGTACTTCTATTCTATTCTATTCTATGTGCACTGTCCAGATGGCTAGGTAAGTAAAGATTACTCCATATTTATTTACCAAGCTTCTTCTTCTCTCAAATGGTCCAAAATAGTCAACGCTGACTCTGGAAACGGAGGATTATCAGGAAGCACTCTGTCTTGAGGAAGGTCTGCCATTTGTTGGTGTTCTGTGGATCCATGCATTAGACCAGTGGTCCCCAACCCCCAGGCCGCGGACCGGTACCGGTCACATTATTACACATTATAGAGATAAAATGACAAACAAAAACAGATCAGTGTTTGATAAAAGTGAGAAAACTGACATCTTCCGGAGATCTGAATCTACAGCAGGGGTCTCAAACTCCGGCCGACTTTGGCGGACCGTCAGCGACACTCCCTCGCCGGCCGGGCCGGAGTTCATCTTGCGTGTGTCCCTCACACATTTGAATATTTCTTTGAATATTCATGAATATTTTTTTGAATATCGTCTTTGCCCACTTGTTCCCTCAAAACACAACACTTTTTCATTTTTCTGGGGATTTTTGCAGAAAATAAGATATCTGGCAAACACAAATTTCTACCTTCCCTCATTTCATTTCATTATCCTTCCAATTATCATCTTTTCTTTTGAATATTTACTCATTATTTCCTTCGGCCTCATAGGTTTACATACACATTATGAATAAAAAGTCTTTGCAATGATCACTTTGTATCAACTGTAAGTGGATTTAATTTAGTTATTGAATACGAATCAAACCAAGAGTGAGATCAATTAATTAAGCCAATACAGTTTTCATATTTAAATGGGCCGCAGGTTGTACATAAAAAGTTCGGCACCAAAGTCAAAAAGGAAACAATCCCTTCTCTAATGTTCCGCTTTCACTCTGTTAAGAACTCCGACTTTGAGCCAACACACTTCTCTAAGCAGCTGATCTGGGTCGACTAGTGAAGCCTCACAGAGCCAATGTGGACAGAGGAGCACATGGACCAGTGGACTGAGGAGCACATGGACCAGTGGACAGAGGAGCACATGGACCAGTGGACTGAGGAGCGTTTGCAAACTCCTCAGTAATTATTCTCCAGTTATAACCAAGCTTGTCTTTATTCATTTTTCTAAACATCCACCGTGCTCCTGTCTCCACCATGATAACATGTTGCACAGTGATGTGTATAATCCCTTTTCAATCAAATAAAACAAATTCACTCATCAGATCTTTGAAGAGATGATGATGCAGGACGATGAGTCGCCTGTCAGCTGCTTTAACGTCGTGTTCACTGCTTTTTGTTAGTTTATTAATAAGCAAACCTGTTGAACGGGATGCAGAACAATGTTCTAAATCAACGTCATCAAGTCAACCCAAAGCCGCGTGTGGCCCCGCCCCCCTCGTTCACCGGGACGGGGAATAAAAACCGGTGATTCTCGCCGGTCGCGGTGTCTTCTTGCCGCTTCTCCCGATCAGCTGTTGCGGTTCGACGTCGCTTCATCGCCGGCTGTGATTCAGCGCGTCTCTCTCTCACCACGCGGGACTCACCAAAGCTTCTGCCCGGTTCCCCGGTCCATCATGGCGAGCCAACCATCCGACGTCCTCAGCAAGGTAACATCTGCACAGGTTCAGGGCGCAGATATCCAGATGTTGGTGCGTCTCAGCATCCTGGGCTGCATCATCAGTCTACTTGAGCTCCTTTGATCTGTTTCTGTTTCTGTTCATAATATGAAGTATAAACTAAATATAAAACCGTCACAGCGTCAGTATGTTAGTCAGCCTCAAGTATTCAACTATAATGTGAAGAGGTCCAGTTGGAGAAAAATTCTAGAAGGTCAGAAAGGTCCAGAAGATCATAATGTGACTACTTAGTGTGATTAAATAGATTCAAGAGTTGTATCAACATTTGCATGTAATCAACACACCACTAATAAATAAATTGGATTCAGTAATGTAACAAAGAACTGAACCTATATGTGTGACTGAAAATATAAAAAAATGTTCTCTTAATTAACTGAATAAAAGTCGGGCCGGATAAAAAAATTAAATGTGAAAATGTCTTCAAATAAAGTGCTTCAATTCAGAAAAAAATGAAATAACAGGAAGAAAAGCTTGAACTTCCCATTTTCTGCTTCACATTTGGACTTCACAGTCTGAGCAAGTTATAAATAATAAATCTAAACACATTTTAACAATTCTGGTCTTAATGCATCAGGTTCACCTCCTCATGATCTCATTGAGCCTCATGATGACGTTTCAACGGGTTCTGAGCTCATGAGACTCTGGTTCAGTGCTGCAGTGGGACGTACGAGCAGAAACCAGTCCGTCCATTGTGGATGAAATGCTCTACTTTCGCTGTCCATTTCTTCCTCATTTTTCTCACGTCTTTCTCTCACTTTCTCCGTCTCACTCGTCTTTTTCTCACATTTCGCTCTTTCTTTTCTTCCTACAGTCTTTTTATTTGTAATTTGTCGCTGCCGCTCTCGTCTGTCTGCAGTATTGAGACGATGTCATCGTCCTGCCTGGAATGCAAAGACTCGATTAGTCGAGTAGTATCACGTGGGATGTTTAACTCGATGCTATTGGTCGGTGCTTTAGGTCACGACCGTAAAGACGACCAAAGCTGCTCCGGTGGAAAAGTGCGCTGTCACGTTAAAATCACAACCGTGTTTTTAGCTTTTGTTCCGGATGGGACGGCTTCTGGGTCCGGATCCGGACCGCAGTCCACCAGTCCGTGACCTCTGATCTAGAGTGTGAAAGTTAAGTCATTAAAATGACTTTTCACTAATAACTACAGACTGTAACAGCCAGACTGGGGCTGTAGGTCACATGTTGTTTTCTGTTGTGTTTCAGTCACTCACCTTTGCCTCTCGTTTCAGACTCCTCCTCCCTGTGTGCCGCCGCCCTCTGTGATTGCAAGCCCCGCCCTTATTGTTTCCACCTGTGTCTCGTTCTCCTGTGTATTTACTCTGTGCAACAGCTTGTTCTGTGCAGTTTGTCTCTTTGTTCCCAATGAGCTTACCCGCGATGCTGCTGAGTGTGCCTTCCCGTGTTTTGACCCATTTCCGTCCCTCCGTTAACCTTTGCCTGCCGATTTGGATTGATCCACCTTCTCCGTCTGACTACCCGTGTACCGAACCCCTGCCTGAAGTAAAGACTATTTTTGCCTCTGACTAATCCTCCTCGAGTCTGCTTTTGAGTCTAGACCCTTATGGCCCCACCGGCGTAACACCGACGAGCTGCCGGTAACGTGAGCTGCTCGTTGTGTGTTTGTTATAAATGTGTGTTGGTACATTGATGTTCATGAGAAGCAGTACATGGACCCGGGGGGGGTCCAGGTGAGGGGGGATCTGGGTCAGGGGTATGAAGGCAAATCTATGTTAAACTCAAATCAGACCTGATTTGCGCTCCTGGATTTTGACATTGATTTGCCTTCATACCTCAGTTACCAACATCACGTAACAACATTATAATATAACATTTATATCGGTCGAAAAGTGAATTCTATTTCCTAACGTTACATTTAAAAGTGAACTCTCACCCGCCTCCGTCCTGAATAAATTAAATCCCCGTGGCCCGCACTGCATGCTGGGATATGCTGGGCCGCAAAGGTTAGACCAGATGTGTCCTCCTGGAGGACATCGTCCCACGACCGCGTTCGGAGGAGCTGACGGAACGAGACCGTCGAGTCGCAGTCAATTCTTGTTCTAGACGCGTCTCTCAGCTGCTTGTGTCTTCCAGGTGTTCAACGATCCCATCCACGGCCACATGAAGATGCACCCTCTGCTCATCAGAATCATCGACACGCCTCAGTTCCAGAGGCTCCGTCACATCAAGCAGCTCGGGGGGGTCTACTTTGTTTTCCCCGGAGTGTCCCACAACCGCTTCGAACACTCCCTCGGGTATGTCCTCCACTAGGGGCGCTGGTCTGTTGACCCGGCATCGCTCCGCTGGTCACTACCGTCATAAAGCCGTGAACCAACGAGTCCTATCACCACGTTAAGCGCCGTATAGAGCAGCGTCAGCTGGTGAGACCAGACTCCCCAAAGTAATAAAAGAAACAACGTTCTCTCATGCTGCTTTCCACAAGGTCGTCTCAGTTCTCCGTTTAAATGTAACGTTAAAAGAAGATTTAAACCGTTTTAGACGTGAATTAAATGGATTAATCAATTAATCATCACTATTGTAGGAGAGGAAGGCCGTAGACCCACAAATGGATGAACATGACTCCTTGTTAGGCTATAAACGTGAAGAAAACGCTCCGATGAGTCTCTTCATCCGGTGTAGCTCATTGGTGTTCGTCCTCGTCCTCAGGGTGGCGCATCTGGCAGGAAAACTGGTCCAAGCTCTGAAATGGAGGCAGGGAGACCTCAAAATCACCCGCAGAGACGTCCTCTGTGTGCAGATCGCCGGGCTCTGCCACGACCTCGGTGAGTTCAGTTCAGTGTCGGGGGCTTAATGGCGACTTATCGGGACCAGAAGTGATGGCGTGTTGATTACATCCTCTTCCCCTCCAGGACACGGGCCCTTCTCCCACATGTTTGACGGAAAGTTCATCCCCAAAGCGCGCCCAGATATCACCTGGAAGGTAGGACACAATGACACTTATATTTTAGTGTTTATAGATCACTTCATTGATTTGCATTGTTTTCTTATTTGTCACAAATTATAATGACTTTTAAAGCAGCATTAACGTGAATCAAACATGTTATTAAAGGAGCCCGGCCCTTTTACCTGGGCTACTGAGGTGCTGGATTCCCCGGATTGGTCGGTATGATTGCGCTGTTCTGCCAGCCTGAATCACCCCAGCGATCATCTTGGCTTGCAGACATAATCAACCGACACGTTCGGAGTGCTGTTGATCTTAGTTTATTTGTTACATATACACATGTTTTGTTGCCAGTGGAACAAACTCTCCAAGGATCAAGTAAAAACATTTGATGGGAACATTTAGCTCCTACACATGTTGTAGCGAATGGATGAATGGAGGCAGAAGACGTTATTTCTCAGTTACAAATATAATCTTATGTTCTCTGACAGCTTTATCATCTCTCGTGGAAATTAAGCTTGGTTAATAAAAACCTGCGTTGTGATTCTCTAGAACGAGTCAGTCAAGTCAAGGAGATGAACACAAACAACTTCTATGACTCACAATTGTGCGGGTGGAGGTTTGGGAAGACGGTGGTGTGGTGGTTAGCACTATCGCCTCACGGCAAAAAGGTCCTGGGTTTGACTCCGCCCGGTGGCCTTTCTGTGTGGAGTCTGCATGTTCTCCCCGTGTCTGCGTGGGTTCTCTCCGGGTTCTCCGGCTTCCTCCCACAGTCCAAAGACATGCTCTGCGGATCAGGTTGATTGGTGATTCGTAGGTGTGTGAATGGTTGTTTGGCTCTGTGTAGCCCTGCGATTGGCTGGCGACCAGTCCAAGGTGAACCCAGTCTATCGCCCGAAGTTGGCTGGAACCCTGCGACTCTGTGTGCAGGATAAGTGGTTTGACGATGGATGGATGGATGGATGGATGGATGGATGGACCACATTTAAACACTGCTTTTAACGACCAGGTGCTGTGAAATTACTTTAAAATTACATTATAAAGTCCAACACACAGATATATTTGTCAACGATAACTGACATGGGACAAAGCACCGAATAAATACATAACAGATTGAAAAAGGCGGGTGAATAAAAACATATCTTAATTTTTGCTAACTGCTTTGCTGCTGTTATTAGCGAGCTAATGCTAGCTTGTCCAGCTGGATGACGAGTAAAAAGCAGCAGCAGAAGAGCTGCTGGAGGCTCCTCCCACAACTTGGACGAACTCTCTGCCTGCGCCACGTGATTCACAACAACTACCGCTGCTCTTTCCTCTATCGCGCTCATCTCTGTGACTTATTGAGTGGCGTCATTATCGTACGACACAATGTATCAGCTGAAATGTGCTGCCAAAACTTTTAATAATCAATGATTGATTCGTTGTTGCAGCCCTGGTTGACAGAGGCCTCTTTTATACAAGCTATATATGATGTCATTTGACCTCATGCAACAACAGTAAGAACAAGATAAGCCTCCCTGATAAGAACCACGTGGCATACAGTGGAGTGTTTAACATTTACTCACCTTTCAGCTGAGAACTTTCTATTTGAGTCATTATACTTTCACTTTCACATACTGACCACTTTCTTTTTCTGTATTTTATGTTGCAGCATGAGGACGCCTCCGTTAAAATGTTTAACCACCTGGTGAACGTCAACGAGCTGAAGTCGGCGATGAAGACGTACAAGCTGAAGCTGCCTCGCGACCTGTATTTCATCAGGGAACTGATCGCCGGACCAATGGACCCGGAGGACCTGGAGGACCCGGAGGACCCGGAGGACCCGGAGGACCCGGACGACCCGGAGGACCAGGAGGACTCTGAGGCAGAGGTAGCCAAAATAAGTTGTTTGGGTCTGCAGGTGGCAGAATGATCATGTTGTTCTATTCGTTCCTGACGTCACTGTGGTCTCATCTCCTCAGTGGCCCTATAAAGGCCGTCCAGAGAACAAGTCCTTCCTCTATGAAATCGTGTCCAACAAAAGAAACGGCATCGATGTGGACAAGTGGGACTACTTTGCCAGGTGGGGTCTGTACCCTGAATGTTCCTTATTCATCTGTTAACTTGGTCTTCTCACCACGACGTGTCTTCATCCTCAGGGACTGCTACCACCTGGGCATCAAGAACAACTTTGACCACGACCGCTGCCTGATGTTCACCAGAGTGTGTGAGGTGAAGGGGCGGAAGCAGATCTGCTTCAGAGACAAGGTGCTTTTAACCCACCGGAGATCCAAAGCCCATCGGCTCAATTTGAGAAGCTTCTTTGCAAGCAGCAAAAAGGAAGAGTCCATATTAGGAGGAGTGAGGTAGAGAAGCTGTATATGTCTCTATTTAGAGACCTGTCAATCAGTGTGTAGCCCCGCCCTAAAGCATCCCCTGCTTCATGGTCTGTTTGACTCCACATGGACCATCATCTACTAAATGAACATCATCAGTATTGAAGAAGACTTGAAACTAGAGACTGAGACCATAAACTCATGTTTACAATGTTTACTGAGGGAATAAATCAAGAGAGAAGAAGAGTCATTTTCTCATAGAAGTCTATACAATTGGACTTAGACTTTCATTTCCTCATAGACGTCTATGGGAGCAGAGGAGTCGCCCCCTGCTGGTCACTACAGAGAAGTAGTCATTTCCTCATAGACGTCTATGGGAGCAGAGGAGTCGCCCCCTGCTGGTCACTACAGAGAAGTAGAGTCATTTCCTCATAGACGTCTATGGGAGCAGAGGAGTCGCCCCCTGCTGGTCACTACAGAGAAGTAGAGTCATTTCCTCATAGACGTCTATGGGAGCAGAGGAGTCGCCCCCTGCTGGTCACTACAGAGAAGTAGAGTCATTTCCTCATAGACATCTATGGGAGCAGAGGAGTCGCCCCCTGCTGGTCACTACAAAGAAGTAGTCATTTCCTCATAGTCGCCCCCTGCTGGTCAGTAGGGAGGATGCGGGCTGGTTTTACATTTACGCCCTGTCAGAACTCCTTTGTCCTCTAATCAGTTGTCTCTTAACAGGAAGTGGGAAATCTGTACGACATGTTCCACACAAGGATTTGTCTCCACCAGAGAGCCTACCAGCACAAAGTGGTCAACATCGTGGAGATTATGTGAGGAGCTTGTTGTCCTTCCTTCAGGACCCCCCCTCCCCCCACATGTGTTACGTTTTAACAAAGCGATCATGTGATTTGCTCAGGATCACGGAGGCCTTTTTGAAAGCAGAGGGGTTGATCCTGTTTGAAGGCTCTGGAGGGCAGATCCCTCTCTCCGCTACCATTGACGACATGGCGGCCTACACCAAGCGTGACCGGTGAGTAGAAACGCCACTTCTCCCCAAACATT